GTCATTAGGGTTTAGGGTTTAGGGTTTAGGGTTTAGGGTTTAGGGTTTAGGGTTAGGGTTTAGGGTTTAGGGTTTAGGGTTTAGGGTTTAGGGTTTAGGGTTCGTTATTCCGCTCTTCTTGTTGGATGTAGGAGGGTCATACGTAGGAATAGTTATGTTCAGAAGGCTCATTGGGCCAACCTCACTGCTAGAAAAGCCCAAGCTTTGAGGACTTTAAACCCCCGCCCAAAACCCTGAACTCTGAGCCCTGGTTTATGGCTCAGGGTTTAGGGTTCAGGGTTTGGGGCTGAAAGCCGTCTTACATATCTGCTTACTCGTCTTGATGTATATATATATATGCATCAAGACGCTAAACCCTAAACCCTACACCCTAAACCCTAAACCCAAAACCCTTAACCCTTGACCCTAAACCCTAAACCCTAAACCCTAAACCCTAAACCCTAAACCCTAAACCATGCCGTGAACTAGGCAGTTCTCCCTAGGTGCCAGAAAGAGAAGTGCCTGCCTTGCTAGAACCGGACTGTCAGGACTTGGAGGTTCATGACCAATGGGGTTTAGGGTTTAGGGTTTAGGGTTTAGGGTTTAGGGTTTAGGGTTTAGGGTTTAGGGTTTAGGGTTTAGGGTAACTGTACTTATAACTGTACTTATCACCATATTAGGGCACTTAAAGGGGCTTATAAGTGGGTTGTAAGTACAGGTATAATTGGTTATTAAGTACCATGCACCTCCAAGGATACGCCCAGCAACGTCACCAGATCCTGGCCGGGATGATGGTTTTGGGTTGAGGGTTAAGGGTTTAGGGTTTGGGGCAATGGCGGCGGCATGCTGCCAGATTGCTGTCTTGGCAGCCCAGCGGTACCCTTTGCCCCTTTTTTTTTGTTCTAGGTTCCCTTATAAAGTAACCAACCCCAACCCAGTAATGCCCTTGTTATAATGTGGTTACTGGGGTACCAAGAAATTCAGTCTTGCGACTTGCGGGCTTGGCCGCCGGTTGCTATGGCTGACACTGATGTTGGTGGCACACATTGTTCAAGGCATGAAGCGGATGAGGAAGGCGAGTATGAGACGGTGAGGAAGTCCAACCCGAAACCCGAAACCCGAAACGCTAAACCCTAAGCCCTAAACCCTAAACCCTAATGGCTTCGCGAAGTGTTACTTCAAGATGAGAGGCAAGGCGCGGCGCGTGGCTTGTGAGTTCTCAGTGTAAGGGCCCATACTTACAAAAGCACCTACCGCCCCAGATCCCTAAACCCTAAACCCTAAACCCTAAACCCTAAACCCTAAACCCTAAACCCTAAACCCTAAACCCTAAACCCTAAACCCTAAACCCTAAACCCTAAACCCTAAACCCTAACTGAGGGGCCCATACTTGGAACTCAAGAACAGATATCAAGGGCGAAGCCCAGAAGCCCCTGAGCTGGGAGCCAGCTCCAGGAGGGGGTTTAGGGTTTAGGGGTTTAGGGTTTAGGGTTTAGGGGTTTGGGGTTTGGGGTTTAGGGTTTGGGTTTGGGGGTCGATTTTCGGGTCCCCTATTTTCCTAGACCTCCAGGAGACCAAAGCTGACTCGCGGCCGCAGGCTTCCAGGACGCTTTTTGCATTCTTAAGGGGTATGGGGTATAGGCTTGAGGGTTGAGGGTTTAGGCTTTAGGGCTTAGAAGTTTGGGGTTTGTTCTTGTCCCTTGAGCCCAAGGTAAATCTAGGGCATGTTGCATTCCCGCCCAGCCCAGACTCAACCCTCGGCCCTCAACCCTCACTTGAAGTTCATGGTTCATACCCAAATATCCACATAACGGTAGTTCCCCTACTTCGTGGTGACCCTACTTAGAAGTACCCATGAACCTCCCAGCAAGCCTCAACCCTCAACCCTCAACCCTCAACCCTCAGCCCTCAGCCCTCAACCCTCAACCCTCAACCTCTTCCCTGCAGCGCCCTGGCGCGCCAGGAGCTACCTCTTCTCCACACCACCCAAGTTTCACGCCGGCGCTGGCGTGGCTGCTGGCCTCGTTGCTGCCTTTGCCGCTCCACAGCGCTGGCGGCAAGGTGCAGAAACATGTTTTGGGGGTTTGGGGTTTAGGGTTTGGGTTTAGGGTTTTGGGTTTAGGTTTGTGGGATTTTAGGGTTGAGGGGCATAGCTCCAAGAGCCCAATACACCTTCATTCAGGAGTTTACTGTACTGCAACGTTGTACCTGCTTTAGTAGGGCCTAAAGTTAGATTGGCTGGGCTATTCAGGACACACCGAATGTTGGGGGGTGCAGACCAGGTCCCTCTTTCAGGTCAAATCGTCCGGGTGTCGTAAGAAGTCCCCCGCGGCGCGCATTTGCCTTATATAAACTCCGCCCTATCAAACCAGATAAAACCCGTGGACAGTGTAAACAGGGCGAAAACCAGCTTCGACTGTTCTGGGGGAGGGGGCCGGGGGGGGGGGGGGACACTAAAGGGAGCACAACCTTACTTTTTAACGAGTCTAGACCGCTGGTTGAAAATCTTTGTTTGGGCATGTCGGATCAAAACTAGGTATCCACTACAGCAAGAACAAACTAGGTCAACCCTTGGACTACGCATTGCTTAAGAACCCCCGAAAAATGAAATATTCTTCCTTATTAAGGGTAATATGGGGATTATTTGCTGATATTCTTTTGGTAGACTAAAACCCTGAACCGTGCAGGCTTACCCTATACTTCCAGGGAAGGACCCCCCCCATAATTCGGGCCCTGAAAAGATTTTGTCATAGTTCGGGATGCAATTGCTATAGCCCCCTTAGGCTTTTTCACTCTTGTTTAGAAAAACCCGGGGAACGATGAACATGCCTTGTTTGAAGGTTCTAAGTTCTAAGGGGAGTAAAGACTATAGGGGCCTAGGTAGCTAGCGAGGCGCACGCTCAGGGACGACGCGCGTCACCATGCAGCTCGGGGGGTTTAGCAGCTTCGCCCTTTGGGGTTTGGCGGTTTCGGAGGTTGGGGGTTTAGGGTTTGGTTCAGCTCGTTCTCGGTGTTGCATACTGCAGATGTAGGAACCGCACACAGCACGGGCCTAGGAAACTCGAAACCCTAAACCCTAAAGCCTGCAAAGCCCAGAGCCCTAAGTAAAGTACATGAGACTCCGAAGGTTTTTGTTTTAGGGTTTAGGGTTTCGGATTGGGGGCAGGGAGAGGGAGGGGGAGGGGGAGGGAGCGGGGAGGGGGAGGGGGGCAGGGAGGGCTGCATAGGGTTACGGGTTGAGTTCGGGGTTTCCTCAAGCTTCAAGACTGCAAGTAACCCCCCACCGTTGTACATGTGGAGTTCAGTCAGAGTTTAGGGTTTAGGGTTTAGGGCTTAGGGTTTAGGGTTTAGGGTTTAGGGAGCAATGGAACAACTAAGGCGCGGGGCTACAGAAGGCGTTGTAAACACGCATGCGCCCCTTGGGACTGATCCGTATTTTGTTTTGTTTTAGGTTCAGGGTTTAGGGTTTAGGGTCTAGGGGTTAATTCGAGTGTAGGTTTTGGGGATTACGGTTTTGGCACAAGGAACCGTTTAGATTATAGCTCTGGAGATCCCCAAGGACCCATAGTCTAGAACGGCTCCCACACACACAAAAACAAGAGGGTTAGGAGGGCATATGAAGCATGGGATTTCGATGTTTAATACCTGGAGTACAGTAGCGGGTTTAGATATGCGCCAAGTCACTCACGTCACATTGCTTAATTGAAGCGGTCCTTGGATGCCTGGGTTTTAGGGTTCAGGGTTCAGGGTTCAGTGTTTAGGGTTTAGGGTTTAGGCTTTAGGGTTCAGGGTTTAGTAGAGTTTAGGAATTGAGAGGGGTTTTTAAAGTTTCCATGAATGCCGGAGAGGTATGCAGAAACGGCACTTTTTCGAGATAGTTTCAAGTCACCCAGCACCGCGTGGCCTACCTCAAAGTCTGAATGCCCCAAAACCCTCCCCCTCTCCTTCCCAGAACCAAGTTATTGGGTCCTTGGGGGCTCCAGTAGCCTAAGGCCTAAAGCCTGAACCCTAAAGCCTAAACCCTAAGCCGTAAACCCTAGTGATTAGTTCCCTGCAAGTACGTACAGGTGTATACCCCAGTCCCCCTCGAACCTTGTACAGGTGATAGGGTTACATGGCCCCTAAGCCCTACCTGGTCCCGCTTGGGACGTCTGAAAATGACACCCCCCTAAAATTATCAGACGGGCAACCGAAAAGCAGGAAACCTTACAATCCTTCTCAACCCTGGAAAGCAGACGGCACCGCATTTTCTCAAGAAATCGGACGGGACCAATAAATGGACGTGCGAAACGGGAACAGGTAACCCTAAACCCTAAACCCTAAACCCTAAACCCTAAACCCTAAACCCTAAACCCTAAACCCAATTTTAGGGTTCCTTCGCGGTTCCCCAGACGGAACCCTTCCCACGCGAGATGGACTCTCCAGGCTCCCGGCGGCGGTTCACTGGGGGCGTCAGGCCAAGGACGCTTTGCCCGAGGTGCTCCAAAAGCTGCTGGGCTGTTTTGTTTGTTTGTGGGTTGACGGTTTAGGGTTCATTTTTGAGGGCTGTTTTGTGTTTTTTTGGGTTCAGGGTTTAGGGTTGAGGGCTGCTTTGTTTGTTTTGGGGTTTGGGGTTTAGGGAACAGGGTTTAGGGTCTCGGGTTGAGGGTTTAGGGTTTCGGTTTTTTCTGGAGTGGTATTCTTTGTGGGGGAACCTGATATCCCCCTATTATTCCCCGTTAAGGGATGACAAAAGGACGCATATTTCCCTCATGCTACCTGGAGCCAGCAGGCTTTCCGTGGAGGGGAGGGGGGCGGGGGGGCGGGCGAGGGAGGTTCGCGGTGGTTCCTTGGTAACCCAGTGGTACCCTTTTCCTTGTTTTTTTTGTTTTTCTTTCAAGGTTCCCTTCTAAAGCAACCAACCCCAAAAAGAGTGCCCTTGTTGGAATATGGTTACTGGGCTACCCAGGTTTTTACTGTACTGGTAGTAGGGAATAAGAGAATTAGCTGATATCCGCCTATTTTGCCCGGTACGTGTTCATATGGGACACCTCAGTCCCTCTTTCCCCACTAAGAGCCAGCAGGTTGTTGGCGGAGGAGGGAAGGGGGCGAGAGAGGGCTTCTTGTTTTCTTCTCCGCCATCGGTGTGGGGATGTTGAATTTTAACCCAGCTGTTCTCCTCACACGGCTGGCCCTTGAATGGTCTATAGGCTTTTCCGGCCTATGTTGCCTTTAGGGTATGTATACCCCTAAACTCAAAATCCCCAAGTCCCGAGGTTCTTCTTTGTCATCTTAGGCTGAAATCGGATGTGGGGCTTCACTGCATGTTTGACCATGCTTGAGCAATTACCTGGTCAAAATGCCTTGCTTATGGTACAGGGTTTTGTTTTTGCAGTCTGTGAGAGTTCCCTTGCAGATTGTCCAATACAACCTTTGACTGGTCTGTTGGGGGAGCAGTTTGGGAGCAAACTTGGTATTGATGCAGCGCTGCAAAGCGCTTTGCCAATGATGTAGATCCATGTTGCAAATTCCGGGTTCGGGAACTCAAGTTTAAGGAATGACGGGAACCCTGGATGTTGGTCTGAGTGACTTTGGAACGCGAGGCTGAATTGCAGCCGAGCATTTCTGATGGCCGTGCTCCTAGAGGTTTAGGGTTTGGGGTTTAGGGTTGAGGGTTTAGGGTTTAGGGTGCCAGGGGGTCCAGTGTAGTGTATTCTAGGTGGGCTAAGGGCACCGTTTCTGAAAAGTCTACGGCTCACAGTAGCAGAAGGTGTTCGATGCCAATGCCGGGTTTAATCTTCAGGGAAGTAAAGCATTCTTCTTTACACCCCAAACCCTAAAGCTCTAAACCCTAAACCCTAAACCTGAACCCTAAACCCTAAGCCCACTTGAAGGTTCAGGGAGTTCGGGTTCACAGCGTCTTGGGCTCAGGGTTCCCCTTTCAAAGCAGCACCCTGGGCCCGGAACCCTAAGCCCTTTTGCAACAAGAGGGTGTAGGGGGGTAGGGGTGTAGGGTGTAGGTGTGTAGGGTTGTAGTGGTATAGGGGTGCAGGGTTGAGGGTTGTTTAGGGTTGTTTAGGGTTGTTTAGGGTTTAGGGTTTAGGGTTTAGGGTTTAGGGAGCCTGCGCCCCTGAATCGCGGCTCGAAGCTCCTGCTCCCGAGCCTTCGGAGCGCGGGGCGATGTAAGCAACATGCCACTCGGCGCAACCTTCGGTCGAGGGATGAAGGCTCGTACCCAAGGGTTTAGGGTTTAGGGTTTAGGGTTTAGGGTTTAGGGTTTAGGGTTTAGGGTTTAGGGTTCAGGGCTCGCACCTCGAAGGTTGTAACCCTAAAGATTCCACTTAATACGCTCCTTATATTTTGGCCCTTAGACTCCCTCAGGGATCCTTAAAAGGGGTCCCCAAAACCCAAAGGTACAACCTTAAGGGTCCAAAATCCTTGACCATAACCCCTAAACCCCAATTTTCGGATGTCGTTCAAGCTCTTCTGAAAGCGCGTTCAGTGAATTCAGGCTCCTTCGAGGGGGCTACCTGGGGCTTAGGGTTTACGGTTTAAGGTTTCGGGGTTTAGGGTTTAGGGTTTCGGGGTTTAGGGTTTGGGTGTTTAGGGTTGTGGGTTTAGGGTTTGGGGGTCTAGGGTTTTGCGTTTAGCGTTTTGGGGCTTAGGGTTTTGGGTTTAGGGCTTCGGGGTTTAGTGTTTTGGTTTTTCGGGTTCTCGGGGGTAAGGGCTTTTGGGGTTTAGGGCGTTCGTTCCTTCGTTTCCATAGGGCCTGCCCTTGTCATCCCCCCAAAGCAGGTATCCGAGCCTCTCAACCCTAAACCCGCATGCTCCCAACCCCACACCAAGCTTTGGCCAGCTTCGTCCCCGAACCCTACGTACACCCAAAAATGCCCGAAGCCCGCCCAAACCCTAAACCCTAAACCCTAAACCCTAAACCCTAAACCCTAAACCCTAAACCCTTTAGGTTTTGGGTAGGCCTTGTCAGGCAAGCAGCTGGGGCTATGAACTTACCCTAACCCCTAACCCCTAACCCCTAACCCCTAAATCCTAACCCCTAAACCCTAAACCCTAAACCCTAAAACCTAAACCCTAAACCCTAAACCCTAAACCCTACACCCTAAACCCTAAACCCTAAACCCTAAACCCTACACTCCCATGAGGTTGTGCCGCGCGCCCCTGCTCAGACGGCCCAGCGCTGCCCGGCCTCTTGCCGGCATTGGGCTTGGTAGCAGTGGTAGGGTTTAGGGTTTAGGGTTTAGGGTTTAGGGTTTAGGGTTTAGGGTTTAGGGTTTAGGGTTTAGGGTTTAGGGTTTAGGGTAATTTATGCTTTTTGGGTTCATGCGTCCGTTATAAAGTAGCCGCCTCTCACAAGGGTGGTCTTACTATAGCCGGGCTACCAGGGGAACCCAAAAACCTACTTCTTCGTAGTCTCAGTGTAGAACTCCTTGTAATGGGATTCTTAGGTCAGCTACAACAAGCAGGTGTGGGGCTCTTAAGGTGGGTGTAGGGTTCAGAATTTAGGACCTATGGGGCTTGGTTCATTGCACTCCACGGCAGCAACTACCGCCTTGATACCACCAGCAGCCATACACAAGACTTTTGACAATTTGACCCAAACCCTAGTTTAGGACCATAGCTCTCTCTGAAGTTGCCCACCCGTCTAGGACTCAGTCTCACCCTAAACCCAAAAACCCCAAAACCCCAAAACCCTAAAACCCTAAAACCCTAAAACCCTAAAACCCTAAAACCCTAAAACCCTAAAACCCAAAAACCCTAAAACCCTAAAACCCTAAAACCCTTAAACCCTAAAACCCTAAAACCCTAACACCCTAAAACCCTAAAACCCTAAAACCCTAAAACCCTAAAACCCTAAAACCCTAAAACCCTAAAACCCTAAAACCCTAAAACCCTAAAACCCTAAAACCCTAAAACCCTAAAACCCTAAAAAAAAAACCTAAACCCTAAAACCACTAAACACCCTAAAACCCTAAAACCCTAAAACCCTCAAACCTCAAAAAAAACCCGAAAACCATAAAAAACCTAAACCCGGAAAACCCCGAAAACCCGAAAACCCAAACAACCCGCAAAAACCCTAAAACCCTAAAACCCTAAAACCCTAAAACCCTAAAACCCTAAAACCCTAAAACCCTAAAACCCTAAAACCCTAAAACCCTAAAACCCTAAAACCCTAAAACCCTAAAACCCTAAAACCCTAAAACCCTAAAACCCTAAAACCCTAAAACCCTAAAACCCTAAAACCCTAAAACCCTAAAACCCTAAAACCCTAAAACCCTAAAACCCTAAAACCCTAAAACCCTAAAACCCTAAAACCCTAAAACCCTAAAACCCTAAAACCCTAAAACCCTAAAACCCTAAAACCCTAAACCCTAAACCGCAGTTAGCGACTCCAGGTTTCGCACCTGGCGTCCCGCGCTGGTACCCGCCCGCGCGACTCTGGCTTCCTTGGCGGATGAGAAGCAGATCAAGGCTCTCGATTTAGGGTTTAGGGTTTAGGGTTTAGGGTTTTGGGTTTAGGGTTTTGGGTTTAGGGTTTAGGGTTTAGGGTTTAGGGTTTTAGGCTATAATCATGCTTGAAGGAGCTGGGCGAAGTTAGGTACCCGTGAACCCTAACCGTACCTTGTTTTTTCGGGTAATGGTATCGCACTCGAAGTCCTAAAATGTCCGCACTCTGTGGGAAGCCCGGTTGCCGCAAAAGGGGCCTGAGGAACTCGAGACACTCACAAAAAAATCGGGGGGGAAAAAGGGTATCACTGGCCCTAAACCCTAAACCCTAAACCCTAAACCCTAAACCCTAAACCCTAAACCCTATACCCTAAACCCTAAACCCTAAACCCTAAACCCTAAAACCCTAAACCCTAAACCCTAAAACCCTAAAACACTAAACCCTAAATCTTATACATCCTAAACCTCAGCCAGGCAGCTACTCAACCTAGTCCGAAGCCATTTCGCTTTTGCACCTCCAGCTCTGATAGGGTTTAGGGTTTTAGGGTTTAGGGTTTTAGGGTTTTAGGGTTTTGGGTTTTGGGTTTTAGGGTTTTAGGGTTTAGGGTTTAGGGTTTAGGGTTTTAGGGTTTTGGGTTTTGGGTTTTGGGTTTTCCTTAAACTCCGTCCGGACTCCACGATCAACCTAAAAGATGGGTTACATTTAGCCAAGAGGTTCACAGGTGCTAGGGTTTAGGGTTTAGGGTTTAGGGTTTAGGTTTGTGAAATTCCACCTAGTCTGGACTGTATAGTGCACAGCCGAGGTCACATCTCCTCTAGGTAAGATCCCCTACGAACCCCCCTTAAGGCAAGGGAGCAGGTACCCTAAACCCTAAACCCTAAACCCTAAGCCCTAAACCCTAAACCCTAAACCCTAAACCCTAAACCCTAAGCCCTAAGCCCTAAGCCCTACAACCCTACAACCCTAAACCCTAAACCAGTTCTTTTCGGGTTTGTTTCTGAGAGTTTTGACTTCCGCAACCCTTTAGGCCTTGAGCGCTACCTTAGCAGCCGAAAAGAAGCTACGTAGTTGCCGTTCCCAAGGCCTCCTCCAAAAGGGTTTAGGGTTTAGGGTTTAGGGTTCAGGGTTCAGGGTTCAGGGTTCAGGGTTCAGGGTTCAGGGTTTAGGGTTGTGGGGAAAGAGGTTCCCCCAGCCCCTGATACAGTTCAGCAAGTACCGTTTTGAGCGTTCAGTCACAAGCTTATCAGATCCTGAGCACGAAGCCCTAATGCCTAAAATCTTAAAGCCCTAAACCAAAACCGGCAACCTTGTCCACGTTTAGGGTTATGTTGAAGCCCCAAGCCCCCAACCCCAAAACGGGTGGTACTACGGGCCTCTTGGATATCAGCATAATGTGGGAACCTGCAATTTCAATAGTGTTTTTTTTTTTTTTTGGGGGGGGGGGGGGGGGGGGGTGGGGGTGATTATAGTATATTTATAAAGGGACCATACTGGAACATCGGTTGTCCTTATTCCAACTCCTACATTACCCGAATCCTCTGACCAGGAGCCCGATGAGCCGAATGGCCCTATGAGCCGATTTACTTTGAAGCCCTTAACCCCACAAGCCCTAAACCCTAAACCCCTGAGCCCCGGTTTAGGGTTTAGGGTTTAGGTTTTAGGGTTTAGGGTTTAGGGTTTAGCCCCAAAAACGTAAACACCAAAGCCCTTGAACCCCAGAGAATCAGCACTATGGAAAAGCTAGAGCACAGGAACATGCAATAGCGACACTAGCAGAACAACAACACCAATAGTGGTAGTAAAACAATGGTAAGTATCAATATTATCAATACTAAGAACAAAGTAACAATCATAACTCGAATAACAATGAGAACAATAACAACAATCATTCCAAACCCTAAGCCCTAAGCCCTCAACGGGATGCGAAACCCGAAACCCTAAACCCTAAACCCTAAACCCTAAACCCTAAACCCTAAACCCTAAACGTAGCCCCAGGCGTCTCACCCCCGGGAGTATGCGGTCTGGAAGAAGCTGGACAGGGACTTCGATGGAAGCCTAAGCCATGCGGAGATCCGTTCCATGTGCCCTGCAAAGAAAATCCCCTAAAGCCTGTTGTTTAGGGTTTAGGGTTAGGGTTTAGGGTTTAGGGTTTAGGGTTTAGGGTTTAGGGGTTAGGGTTTAGGGTTTAGGGTTTAGGGTTTAGGGTTTAGGGTTTCGGGTTTAGGGTTTAGGGTTTAGGGTTTAGGGTTTGCAGGTTTTGGGTTTATAGGTTTATCGTTTACAGGTTTAGGGTTAGGGTTTAGGGTTCAGGGGCAAGCCCTACTAGGGGCACGTTGGGCGTTTCGGAGCTTGGTGCAGCGCTGCGACATGTACCTGAGGCTGTGCCTCCTTAGATGTTGTTCTGGCTTCTACCTACTCTTCAGGGTTTAGGGTTTAGGTTTAGGGTCTATGGTTCAGGGTTTAGGATTTAGGGTTTAGGGTTCAGGGTTTAGGTTTTCGGGTTTAGGGTGTAGGGTTTAGGTTTCGGGTTTAGGGTTTAGGGATTTGGGATCCAAGGGTTTAGGGCTACCCTGCGCGGCCGAGGTGCCGCAAGTTTGACGCCGTGGAGCACGCGCGCGTGCTCATCAAGATTTTGGATCCGGAGAACGAGGGCCAGGTGCGGCTCTATGGTGTGCTTGTAGGTAGGGTTTAGGGTTTAGGGTTTGGGGTTTGGGGTTTAGGGTTTAGGGTTTAAGGTTCAGGGCTTAGGATTTAGGGCTCAGGTTTAGGGCCAAGTTTAGGGTTTAGGGCTAGGACCCAGATTAGGCCCTTATTCTCTTTTTTTAGGGTTGCGGTTCCCTTGTGATCCTCTTACAAACCAAAAGGGCGCCCTGTGTATTCCTAGGTCACTCCTGGGTTTAGTTAGGGTAGTGGGTATAGGGTTTATGGGGTTTAGGGTGCCTTATCTCTCTAAGGGTTTCATGGGCCCTTCCTTACCTCCTTAACGGGTTCTGAGGTATGGGCCGTTGGGTTGTACAGGGTATGGGCCCAGCCGCAGGCACCATGAAACTACCCTAAGAAACCCCCCAAAGACCCGATGCGCCCCATCAAGCCCCAAGTAGCCTTCTGAATCTCCTACACGGCCTCCTAAAGCCCTAAAGGGTTCAGGGTTTAGGGTTTAGGATTTAAGGTTTAGGCCCTAAAGCCCGAACACCCTAAACCAGTAACCCTAGACCCCCCAAAACCCTGAGCCCTCAACCCTAAACCCTAAACCACAATCTCTAGCCTCATAAGCGTGTGTGAACCCTGGCCAGTTGTTGGGTTGTTCGGAGTTCGGAAGTTCGGACTTGTGGGACACATGGGCTTGGGAACTAGGAGTTCACCCTTAACTCTAAACTCCGAATCCCCAAAACGCCAAAGCCCACTGAACCCCAAACTCGAAACCTCAGATCCCAAAACCCCTACTTAGACGTCTCAAGGTGCTTAGTCAGTAGGTTTCAGGTAGGGATATATGTGCCCTATGCAGGTTTAACTGACTTCTATCCTAACAAATGGCCTGCGCGGCAAGTTCTCTGAGCTTTGAAGTAAGGATTATGGGGCTAGGTGAAGTAGTGGCTCACATATTGGGGGTTTTTCGAGCACGGAATGTAGGGTTTCGGAACTGGGCATTTGAGCATTTTGGCCACATCGGCGAAGTCGGGATGCCAATCTACTTTGGAGTTTGGGTTTAAGGTGTGGGGCTTTGGGTCTTGTATGTCCTACTTACAGAGCACCCTGGTTGTTGGGGGGTGGTTGGAAGGTATATCTAAACGTTTAGAGTCTGAGGCTTTAGTTTCAGGGCTTGGGGCTTGAGGCCTCAAGGGTTCCAGACAATGTTAAGGTTTAGGGCTTAGGGCTTAGGGCGTATAGGGTTTAGGGGGTTGCAATGTCAGCCATTCGCAGTCTGGAACCCTCGTACCTACCGCTTTTGGACTTCCTGCGAATGAACACGAAGACAGCAGATCAGCCACACACTTTCGCGGATAAAACGCCGCTGGTGTTGTTTGACACGTCAGCTGCAGCCACCGTCAGTGTCAGGATGCTGAAGCAAGGCCTTGACCATTGCAGCGTCCACCTGGTGAGCATGAAGATGAACGATCTCTTTCTCGTGAAAAGCCTATGCACTGTTCCCGAGTCTTCTTGCTTCACTGGATACAGTGTCATGTGGTTCAAAGGCGCTCAGGACACCTCGTCGCAAAGGAAGGAGATGTTCCTGCAGGTACCTCTGGACAGCCGCCTCAGTCCACCAAGCTGTGTGCCCACTTTAGCACTCGTGGTGGCTGCAAGGGAGGGGGCGCAAGTGCAAATTTCTTCACAAGCAAGGAGCGGTCATGACTTCGCGGACTGACCAGACCCTCAAGCACAAACTGCAGAGATGCTTGGAGGAAATCAGTGGCATGGTCAATGACCCCGCCTATGTCAAGTGGGGTTCATTGGATAACATCCACGGTCATCGGCATCGCGTGCCAGCCAGGGGGATGTTCGAGGCTCACTCGGGCCCCCTTCGGAATGATGTAGTGTTTAGGGTTTAGGGTTTATAGGGTGTGGGCATTTTGAATACTGGAAATATTTTGTTGTTCATGTTCCCAGGGGAGTATAGTTCACTTGCCGCCCCAGACCCAACAAGTTCGCAGGCAAAAGCACCCCCCCTAATGAATTAGAGGGTACCCTAGGCCTAGACCCGCAACCATAACACCCGCGCCAACAAAAAAGTGATATGTCCATATGTGTGTATATATACATATACATGTATGTATGTATGTATGTATGTATGTATGTATATATATATATACATATACATTTTGCAGTTCCATTCATTGTGCTTGAACATGCAAAGGTCAAAATAATAAAAAAAAACAATGATCCACATTGTTAAATGGGAACCAGCTCCTTCTGAACAAAGCCAGCGGTCAAGCTGGAGAGGTGGATCTGGCTCGCTTCTGCACGGGCCCTACAGCAAAGAGGACGTTTTTTCCTCTTCTACAGGATGCTATTAGGGTTTAGGGTTTAGGGTTTAGGGTTTAGGGTTTAGGGCTTAGGGTTTAGGGTTTAGGGTTTAGGGTTTAGGGGCGAGTTGAGGGCTGCACCCTAAGCCGTAAAAGCCCCTACATGGAAAGCCTACGACCTAGGAGGAGTTCTTTCAAGGCGTCACCGGAGTCCTTCCTTGGCCGTCAGGCTTTCTGGGCTGCTACAGCAGGTCTCAAACCTTCCCTGAAGCCCGAAGAGACGAAAGTCCTAGACAATAAACTCCAACTTACAAGCCCTCTAAACCCTGTGTAAGTTGGGATGTTCCTCCTTATACTAACAGCCCTTAATGGGGATTATAGTTGGGGGGTGCTAGAATCCCGATCAAGGACTGTTAGTATAAAGAGGAACATCCCAACCTCTACGCCCTATACAAGACTTAACTCGACACCCTAAGCCCGAAGCACCTCGTGCGCCACTCAGGCGATCAGTTCGCAGCCGTGCAGATGGTCCGAAACTCCGCGCGGCTCAAGCGCCCGGGCGTCGTAAAGATGTGTTCAGGGTTTCGGATTTTATGGTTCCGCGGGTTTAGGTGGGCTTAGATGGGCTCAGGGTTTGGGAATTCAGGGTTTTGGGTTATGCCATTGGGGTGTAAAATCGGCCAGCAGAACGCCATACTAGGGCTTAGGGGTTAGCTATCTTCTACCTCCCCTTGTTTGAGTCTAAGAGGTCCTTGTTGAATTAAATTTAAGGCTCCAGTTTTTCGACTCCGAGGTACGTAGGCATTGTTTCGTATACATTGGGGTTACTTCCTTGCTCATATGGGGAGTTCCTTAATCAGGGTCCTGTTTATAAGGTGCCATATGATATAGCTCCAACAAAGGGACCCGAATTTCGAGAATTGCACGTATTATACTACTGTAGCTAGAAACTTACGGTAGTACCTACAAAGGAACTGCACTTACAACTCTTGTATACCAGGAGCCCTAGAATTAGGATTCCCCAGTCACTGGGCTTATAGGGGCAAGCAACCTGGCTACAGCACCGTAGATTGGTCGAAGGTTGCCGTCTTTGGGTGGTTGGGGGAGGGTTTAGGGTTTCGTGTGTCTGGACCCAGAGTAGGCCTTCATTCCCTTTTTTTGGCTATGGTTCCCGTTTAAGCTCCTTTTAACCAAAAAAGGAGACCGTTCTTATTCCTAGTTTACTCTTGGATTTAGATCTTAGGGTAGGTCATGGGCCATTAATACGGTCCCTTACCTCCCTTAAAGGGTTCTGAATATGGGTGTTTAGGGTGTATAAGGAGTATATCAGGGTCCCCTAAAAAGGGCCCGACCCAAAGAATGAGAGTGCGGACCCTGTATCCTGGCTTCACGCTTATGAGCTTCATGTTCTGGCTTCAGGGCTTAGGATTGAGGGATTCAGGGTTAAACCCTCAAATACCCTAAGTCCTACTCTTCCTTGTGTCGAGCTGAATGACCTAGTAACCCTAGGCCCTAACCCGAAAGCCTAAAGCCCAACCCTGAACCCTGAAACCTAAACCCTAACCCTAAATCCTAGCCCTAAACCCTAAACCCTTAGCCCTAAACCCTAAACCCTAAACCACACATCCGCATTTCCCTCGGGGTCCGGACAAGGCATTGGCATCGCACCTTTGGTCTGGGTGTGGCCGGCAACGTCGCAGGTTCGGCCGCCCGGGGTCCACGAATCCCTAAACCCTAAACCCTGAACCCTGAACCCTAAACCCTGAAACCGAGGGGTTTGGGGGATTGGAGATCTTTAGCGTTGTGCAGGGCTTAGAGGCAGAGGTTTAGCGTTCTTTCGGTTGTTCCTTGTGTGTGTGTGCGCCTTTGTTTTCGGAAGCTAGGTGGTTACGTGTGCTCGTCGGGGTTGTGTGAATTTGCGGAATCCCCCTCAAGAAACGCCGCATTCACCAGAATCGACTCCTCTTTCTCAGGTTCCTCGTGTTTCGGAACCCTACACCCCAAACCTCAACCCCAAACCGGAGGGTTTTGGGTGCCTTTGTAAGGGCCAATCTAGTTTTTTTGTTCAGGGGTCAGCCATAAGTCCCTAAACCCTAAACCCTAAACCTGAAACCCAAGTCATTAGAAGGGCCAACTTGGGGTGTGCTCAGGGGCTGGCTGAGGATTCGGGCCGAGAAGGGCTTAGGGCTTCGGGCTTAGGGCTTCGGGTTTAGGGTTTAGGGTATATATATATACAGATATATATATATATATATATATATATATATATATATTAGGGTTTAGGGTATATATAACATATCCTTAATATTCCTAAGGGGAGGGGAGGGGCCGGGGGGGGGGGGGGGGCGCTTCAAATACATTGAGGGAGACCTAGGATTGCTTGGAGGCTCGTGGGCGGGTTGTAAGTAGGGTGGCCATGGATGCAAGCCGACTTAGGGGAATTTCCTAGTTAGCCCTAAACCCTAAACCCTAACCCTTAAACCCTAAACCCTAAACCCTAAACCCTAAACCCCACTCTTTAACCACCCATGAACCCCTGCTGGGGTGGGGGGCCTCAGGCCACATGGCGCAAGCCGGCGAAGCCGACCCCAGCCACGCCCAAACGGAAATGCCCCCGGCAGTCTTTACCTTCTACGTGCCTTCGGCTTTAGGGTTTAGGGTTTGGGGTTTAGGGTTTAGAGTTTAGGGTTTGGGGTTTAGGGTTTGGGGTTTAGGGTTTAGGGTTTGGGGTTTAGGGTTGGGGTTTAGGGTTTGGGGTTAAGGGTTTAGGGTTTATGGTTTAGAGTTTAGGGTTGGAGCCCAAACCTGGGTCCCAAAGCCTGCGAGGCTTTCGGGTGTAGGCGATAAGAGGGGAACCCCCCATCTGAGATCCCCAAAAACCCCCCATCTGAGATCCCCAAAAAGTAGGATCCCCTTAGCATAAGGACCCCGATAAGGTACCCCGAATTTCGGAACCCCCCCCATATTATGGGCCTCTGGCCGAAAGTGTTCTGTGTTCTGCTTGCTAGCTCTGGTGGTCGACCTCACTCTCCTCGACCCCTAAGCCACAATATCGCCCCTGAACGAGCACGAGTGCTTCCCCGAGCCTCCACCTCCTATTTGGGTTTAAGCCCTAACCTTAAGACCTAAACCCGAAGCTCTAAAGCCTAAAGCCTAAAGCCCTACTCCCTAAACGGTCCGAGGCGCCGCACCCCCACACCGTGGACGCGACGGAAGATGAGATCTTGCAGCGGCTCGAAAACTTTCCTGTCACGAACGCCGTGATTGACTTCCCCCGTGCCAGGGCTGCTAGCAGAATCCTTCTACCCCAAACCCTAAACCCTAAACCCTAAACTAGGCTTTTGAGCCCAAAGGCCGGATTATATCAGGGTTTTTTTGGTCGTTTTGAGCCTAAGGGAATACATGTTTAGTGCCAAGTTGTGGGGGCTTCTGAACTGAAACCCTGCAAGAGTACCTCTACCCAACATGCTTAGGGATTCGGACAACCCCTAAAACCCCAAAGCCCTACGCCCGAAAGGCTAAACCCTTACCCTAAACCCTAAACCCTAAACCCTAAACCCTAAACCCTAAACCCTAAACCCTAAACCCTAAACCCTTACCCCTAACCCCTTTAGAGTTTAGGGTGCTGAAGAGCCTCGGCATCTGGTGGGAGCTTGGGAACTCGGCTCCATAGGGTTTAGGGTTTGCGGCTTAGGCCTTCTAGGGTTTAGGGTTTAGGGTTTAGGGATCTTCTGGAACTGTCGGGCGAGCCTGAATTCAAGCGACGACGAAGCGACGTAGGTTGAGAGGCTCATGCCCTTCACGTTCGCCGGTTCAAGGTCTAGGGCTTAGAGGTTTTCTAGGGTTTCTTGCGGGTTAAAAGTTTAGGCTTGACGGCGCAACCCCTAAACCCTACACCCAAAGCCCTAAGCCCTAAGCCCTAAGCTCGCAAGGACAGGGTGGCAATGTTCAGGTCGAGCCCGAGATGGGTTTGTATTGCGACATCGTGTACACGAAGGCAGGGTTTAGGGTTTAGCGTTTAAGGTTTAGGGTTGAGGGTTTAGGGTTTAGGTTTTAGCCCCCAATTATCAGTCTACTTGTATCCTACTTAGAGGACTTAGGGGTCTTATCAGTACAGCTTGTTTTTGTTGGTGTCGAAACTGATTTTTGGATTTGTCCAAAGGGTACGTGAGGGCCAGTTCAGGTTGAGGGTTTAGAGTTTAGGGTTAGCTCAATATCAGAGGCCATGCTAAAGCAGGGGACCCAGACAAGGGGACCTCACAGCATCAGGTTTTGGGTTCGGGGCGCTCGTTGTGGCCCTTTATTTTTAGAGAATACCTATATATATATATATATATGTATTTAAGAGGCTAAGCTCTAGACCCTGCCCCAAGAACCCCAAGCTTATTTGTTTCTAGGTTACCCAAGAGCCTAGAAGGGCTTTTGTACTAAAGCCAACAAGAAACTAGGTTTTGGTTTCTTACGGTAGACCCTAAACCCTAAACCCTCAGCCCTCAACCCTAAACCGTAAACCCTGAACCCAGCCCGCACAAAAGCCCCTATAAGCGATGCTCTCCCTAGGATGGCAAAGCAGTGGAGCGCCTCGTACCGCGACGGATAGCGGCCTTCAACGACTGCCCCGCTGCGGCAGTAGGGTTTGGGGTTTAGGGTTTAGGGTTTAGGGTTTAAGGTTTCGGGCTCAGGGCTTAGGGTTTAGGGTTTAGGGTTTAGGGTGTAAGGTTTCGGGTTTTGTTAGGGCTTGTAAGCTTTAGGGTTTGAGGGGTTTAGGGCCGGGCTTAGGGTGTTGTAGGGGCTTGTTCGCTAGCTTCGTTTTTTGGATTGATGTCGTTTCTTTCTTTTGTTGGCTTCTCAGGGTTTGAGCTTGTTGTTCAGGGTTTGGAGGTTTGGACTCTAGGGGTTTGGCATCTAGGGCTTAGGTTTCCGGGTTTATAATTTTTCGGGAGCTGTGGCTGCAAGTTTTTTGGGTTTCGGGTGCAGGGCACCCTAAACCCTAAACCCTTAACCCTTAACCCTAAACCTTAAACCTTAAACCCTAAACCCTAAACCCTAAACCCGAAACCCTAAACCTCTGCCCAGGCTCCATACGGCAGCTGGACGGGTCGTCGAAGCTGACTCTCGGTGACAGAAGTTCTGTCTGGCAGGGTTTGGGGGTTAGGGTTTAGAGTTTAGGGTTTAGGGTTTAGGGTTTAGGGTTTGGGGTTTGGGGTTTGGGGTTTGGGGTTTGGGGTTTGGGGTTTGGGGTCTCTCGGGCTAATAGGCTTTATCGGGCTTAAAAGGGTTTATCGGGTTTCTAGGGCCAGGCTCTGTATTCCAGCCCGCTGGGTGTTTACAGTTTAGGGTTTAGAGGCTTGGTGTGTTAGTGTTCCGGGTTCTCTTAAGGTTTTTCTGCCCGGAAACCTAAGCTTCCTAAACCCTAAACCCTAAACCCTAACCCTAAACCGTAAACCCTAAACCCTAAACGGAGGTTTGTCGTGGACTGTCCAAGCTCCGAAACTTAGGGCCATTTGGGGGCATGGCTGGCTCGGAGGGTGTAGGGTTTAGGGTTTAGGGTTTAGGGTTTAGGGTTTAGGGGTGAAGGTTCATGGGCAGTACAGGGGCCTGAATGATTGGAATAGGATTCTGGGGGGCTAGTATAGAATGAGTATATAGGGACGATCAGGGAACACTATTCGTAATTATGTACCTGCCTTCACAAAGGTTATCACCATAGTTGCCCTACTTCTAACCCTACTTGCAAGCACCCATGAACCTGCCAGTATGGGTTTTTTTCACCTCAAGCTCTAAACCCTAGACTCTAAACCCTAAACCCTAAACCCTAAACCCTGAACCCTGAACCCTAAACCCTAAACCCTAAACTTTACTAAACCAGTGCATCCTAAAACCCAAAAGCCGAACCATTCCGGCGGGCTCCCAGGAGCGAGAAGAAAAACTGGGGATTTGGCAGCAAGGGCATTAGCCTTCGAAGCTTCCGCATCAATAGCATCTCCCGCGGCAGCTACGTGGCTTTGGCTCAGTTTTGGTGGGCTTGAGTTTGTTCGAACCCTAAACCCGAAACCCGAAGCCCTAACCCCTAACCCATAAACCCTAAACCCTAAACCCTAAGAGCTTTGGCTTTTGTTGAGGATCCAGGCCTGGTATGGAGTCATCCCTGTGATGGGACGCGCCTGAAACGACAAGCGTCCAAGAGCCAGGATGCCCAAATTAGGAGTTTCCCCCTTGTGCTAACAGTTGTAGGTTTAGGGTTTAGGGTTTAGGGTTTAGGGTTTAGGGTTTAGGGTTTAGGGTTTAGGGTTTAGGGTTTAGGGTTTAGGGTTTAGGGGTGGTAACCTTTAACCTTGTTGGGGTAATATCATCCCCTTATACTCCCAAAGGTTAACCTTTAGTTCCCCTAAGTACTGGACAACTAGGAACAGCTCCTTAATAAGGATTATAGTACCCCCCCCCCCATTATAATCCCTATTCAGGACTAATCCCAACTTCTTCCCCGTTGCCGGGTTAGGATCCCTCACACACCCCTTTTTGTGAACAATACAGGGCCCCTTCCCGCACACATGTTGCAAGTATACCGTAGACGCATGATCCCGGTACGGTCCGGGGGGCAGGGAAGGGATTGCTAGGATTTGGGCAGACCCTAAACCCTAAACCCGAAACCCTAAACCCTAAACCCTAAACTAGGGTTCAGCCCAGGTGGATCAGCTCTGCATGGCGTCCTACATCAAGAGAGGCCATGGCAGGATCGAGCTGCAGGGAGTTGATGCGACTTGCTTGGGGTGGCAGACATGGCCACTTTTCAAAGTTAAACTGGGGCGTTTAGGGTTTAGGGTTTAAGGTTTAGGGTTTAGGGTTTGTTTAGGTTTGGGGTTTATGGTCGCTTCTGGTGTGCTCATTACAAGGCAGCCCCTGTTATTTTTGGATGCCCAAAATGAGGCCAAGTGACCACATGGATTTCGGGTTTAGGGTTTGGGGACTCTTCCGGTCGTTGATGCTTAGGGTTAAGGGGGCCAAGGGGCTTGGGTTTCAAGGCATTTACGGTGGTTGCTTACACAGGCCTAGAACCTAGGGTTTAAAGGCTTAGGGTTTAGGGTTCAGGGTTTAGGGTCTAGGATTTAGGGTTTAGGGTTTAGGGCTACTTGGAGGTACGTGGGTACGTAAAACTGGGGTTAAAAAGCAGGGTAACTGTGATTAGAGCCTTCTTTAGGGAACTTGTAATCCTACTTATTAGTACCCGTGAACCTTCCAAGTGCAACCTAAAACCTCAGAGCCTTAAACCTCCAAGCCTAGGTCTACAGGCCTAGTTCGGTTGTCACCCTAAACCCTAAACCCTAAACCCTAAACCCTGAACCCTGAACCCTGAACCCTAAACCCTTTTTCGGGGTCTAAGAGAAGGAGGGTTCGGGCTTCAAGGTCTAGCCTTAGGTTATAGTTGATGCCTTGTAGCCGCCCTTCACGACCCTTTAGAAGGATATACATATATATATATATATATATCTAGGGATGCTAGGGCCTGATCCCTACTAAGAAGACGGGGAGTCTCCTAAGTATCGTGCCTTCGGGCGGGGTCGAGGAGGGCAGGGGACTCCACTCTTGGGCACCATTCCCAGGATGATATACCTTAGACTGTACTAGTATAGGGGTTCTAGCGTAGGAATTATGAGGTATCTTCGACCTTCCTTGATAAGGAGATCTACCTAAAGCTGAAGCATAGTACGAACTCTACGGTATACTCAATTCAGGTCTACGGTTTTCTCACTCCAAGTGGGTCCCTGCGTTCTCCACATAGCCCCCCTCCCCTCCTTCCCGGACGCAGGTCCTGAGACCTTTGATTATAGCATTCCAGCTCCGGCGAGGACCAGGGCTCCCTTCACTCGTTTTGCGGTTTTAGGGTTGAGGGTTTAGGGTTCAAGGTTTGGGGTGTGGGGGTGGGGGTGGGTTGGGGCAGAGGGAGGGGGGGGGCGAGGCTTTGTGATTGAAAGGGGTTGTTGACTGGCTTTGGGGAGTTCAGGGTTGGGGGTTCAGGGTTTGGGGTAATGAGGATTGCAGGATGTTGAAAACGTGTTACATTTGCTACGACTGTTTCTTCTCCGCTGCAGACGGGAAAGGGGGGCCGAGCTTGGGCAGATTCTTCCCAGGGGTGGAGCTTTGAAACTCCCTAAACCCTAAACCCTAACCCTAAAACCTAAACCCTAAGTCCTTAGATCCTGAACCGGGAGAGAAGGATTTAGTGCTCGCGAGGAACTACCTACTGTTCCACGACGCCCTGCTCCTGGGCTGCCAAGGGGCCTTGCCACAACATCCCGGACTGAGCAAAAGCCCCCCAAAAACCCTACAAGAAACCATAAACCCTAAACCCTAAACCCTAACCCCTCAACCCTAAGCCCGAAGCCCTAAGCCCCAAGCCCTAAGCCCTGAGCCCCAAGCCCTAAGCCCCAAGCCCCAAGCCCTAAGCCCTAAGCCCTAAGCCCTAAGCCTACGCCCTGAGCCCTAAGCCCTAAACCGCAACTTGCTTCATGTCCCAACGCAACCATTTCATAAACATGGGGTTCTTCTTGGCACCCTGAACTGGAAGGAAAATTCTCCAGCCCTGGCACCAACAGAGAAGATAATGTAGAATCTAGATAGATGAACCTCATAAGCAACCGATCAAGTTGTCATGGCTTCAGAATCTTTACTTTTTTCTCATCCTTCCTTGATGCCTGAGAAGCCTAGGATGCCCAGTAGTGCCCTTATTCCCTTTGTTGGGGGGTTAGGTTCCCTTACAAACCCCTTTAAGCAAAAAAGGGGTACCCTTCTTAACCCTGGGTTACTGAGCATCCTAGAAGCGTTTAGGGTTTAGGGATTAGGGTTTAGAACCTTCAACATGGCCTCCTGGGTACCGGGTGATGCATCATGGGATTGCTTACGTCATGCGCGGATCCTGCGCACGGATCTGAAAGGGTACTAGGTTCACATGGGTTCTCATAAGTCGGGCCTAGAAGTAGGGTAACTATGGTCATAGCCTTATTTGTCGCACGCCTAGCCCTACTTCTAAGTACCCGTGCAAGGGCCCCCGCGACAAAGGATTCTAGCGCCCTTGTTCAAGAACCAAATCTGACAAAGGAAGCCCTTTAACCCAAAAGCCCTATAAACCATATATAAGCCCTATTAAGCCGTATACTTGCAGGTTCATATCTACAGAGAAGTAGGCTTACAAGTAGGGTAAATATGGAACTTTACTTAGGGGACTTGTAACCCTATATTTTCTGGTCCCCACGAACCTCCAAGTAGCCCTAAACCCCCCTAAACCCTGAACCCTAAACCCAAACCCCAAACCCCAAACCCTAAGCCCTAAACCCTACATATAGGCGCCATGTGCCCTCTGCCCTTCGAAGCCCGCAAACCTGGATCCCTAAACCCTGTAACCGCAGTTCTATAGACCCTAAACACGTTTAGGGTTTAGGGCTTAGGGCTTAGGGCTTACAGCTTAGGGTTAGGGTTTAGGGTTTAGAGTTTAGGGTGTAGGGTGTAGGGTTTAGGGTTTAGGGTTTAGGGTTTAGGGATGCACGGTTTTCAGAGTTGAGGGTTTAGGATCCGAGGTTGGACTGGATCGTGGACCGCATCAACAACCAACAGGACACGGACAAGTGGGAGGAGATCTTCCCTCGCCTCGTGCAGACCCTTGGCCGCAATGTTGGGTAACCCTAAATCCTAAACCCTAAACCCTAAAGGGTCTAGGGTTTAGAATGGGAGTTTCAGAACAAGGGGCCCCGGGACCCCTAATAAGGGACCCCAAATAGTAGGATTCCCTTGTAATAATAATAAGGACCCCAAGAAGGTACTCCTAATTTCGGAAACCCCCAAATTCTGACAAACCCTGAAACCCTTAAATCCCAATATCCCTCAACCTTAAATCCCTAGAATCCCCAGAAAACCACCAAACATAAGCCCCCGGGGCCGTGTAATCAGGCTCCCATCCACGCCTCAACTGTTCAGGGGGGGGGGGGGGGGGGGGGGCCCAACACACTAAAGAGGGTCCAACATTACCGTATTGGGGAGTTTGGGGGGGTGTCTAGGGCTCTTAGGGTTTGGGGTTTACGTTGCGTAGGTTTAGGATTTAGGGTTTAGGGTTCAGGGTTTAGGGTTTAGGGTTCAGGGTTCAGGGTTCAGGGTTTAGGGTTCAGGGTTTAGGGTTTAGGGTTTAGGGGCACCCCGATTTCGAAATTGACCCTATGCACTGTTTGAACCAAGTATGGAAGTTGCCTCAGCTTTGTCTCGGAAGGATCTCTAAGGGTTGCTTCAGGCTAGGTGGGTGCAGGGATGCCTCAAGGGACGGCCGTTTTAGGGTTTAGGGTTAGGGTTTAGGGCTTAGGGTTTAGGGTTTAGGGCTTAGGGTGTAGGGTTTAGGGTTTAGGGTTATGTCCGCCGCCAAGGAGTGACTATCCTGTCTCCATGTGGATCGCACTGGGAGCAGGTGCTTTATTGGGGGGCAGGGAGGGTTTAGGGTTTTGGGTTTAGGGTTTAGTAGGGTAAAGGGTAAACCCATTTTTGGACACATCCTTTTAAGTGGGATTCTCCGCATTCGGGAGGTAGAGAGGGCCCAAGAGGACTCAGGATTTAGGGTTGGTGGTTGAGGACCCAGAGACTCCCGAACCCCGAAAAAATAAAGGAATCTACCTTAAATTACATTAGGAACCCTAATATGATTTAAGGTATATTCCTTAATTAAGGGGTTTGGGAGTCTCTGAAAAATTTCTTGGATCCGCCCCGTAGGTGAGTACACCGACTGGGGCAACAGCAACTTCTTGCAGCCCAAGGACTCTCCCCTGGGCGCACAGCTTAGGGTTTAGGGTTTAGGGTTTAGGGTTTAGGGTTTAGCGTTTATAGGGTTCAGGGTTTAGGGTTTAGGGTGCAGGGTTCGGGGCATTCCCGCCACACATGTGGGACATTGCCCTACATACCCCCTCAAAGGGACCCGAAACTTTAAACCTTAAGCCCTAAACCCATAACCCCTGCCTTCCCAAACACCTAAACCTCCGACCCCGGAAACCAAAGCCCTTAAACCCCAAAGACTAAACCCCCAAGGTGGACTTTTTTTCCAAGCCCCTAAACCCCCAACCCCCCCCCCCCCCCCCCCCCCCCCCAGGCCCTAAGCCCTAAGCCCTAAGCCCTAAACCCTAAACCCTAAACGTAAACCCTAAATAAAGGTGCACTTTTTTGCAAGCTGCGGGTAGATGGGGTATCTGGGGGCTTCGGTTTCACTGATGTTGATGGCATGGTGCTAATTGAGGGTTTGGGGTTATATAAGGTTTGGGGTTTGGGTTTGGGGTTTAGGGGGGTTTGGGGTTTAGCGTTTTAGGGTTTAATTAGGGTTTTAGGGTTTAGGGTTTTGGGGTTCTAGGGTTCTAGGGTTGTAGGGTTTAGCGTTTGGGGTTTAGGGTTTTAGGGTTCTAGGGTTGTAGGGTTTAGGGTTTCAAAGGGTTTGAGAGTGTAGGGTTTTAGGCCCTTGGAACTCCCGACCAGGACGAGACGCTGGTACTGATCTACGACGAGCCCCTTGACGTGACAGCGACATCAGCTCGGCCACCGAATCCCAAAATGTTGAGGGTCTAGGGTTTAGGGTTTAGGGTTTAGGATTTAGGGTTTAGGGTTTAGGGTTTAGGGGGTCGGAAGGGCTTTACCTGGGACTCTCCTTACCTACAGTTTAAAAGTTTGTGCCTACTATTAAGGGGCAGTGACTACGCAACTGTAGGTAAGTAGAGTCCCAGGTGGGGCTTGGGGTTTGTAGAGTCTAAGGTTTAGGTTCGGACCCTGAGCCTTAGAATCCCCAATGACAGCACTAGAGTAGCACTAAGCCACCTCAACGTGCAGAACCGGTCCAAACGCTAAATCCTAAACACGAAACCATAAACCCTAGACCCGAGACCCGAGACCCTCAACCCTAAACCCTAAACCCTAAACCCTAAACCCTCAACCCTCAACCCTCAACCCTCAACCCTCAACCCTCAACCCTCAACCCTGAACCCTGAATCCTGAACCCTGAACCCTGAACCCTGAACCCTGAACCCTGAACCCTGAACCCTGAACCCAAAACCCAAAACCCAAAACCCAAAACCCTACCCCCCTGCCCTTGGCGTCCCTGACACCATGGAGGAAGCGATATCCAAAAGGGCCCAGCGCGGGCCTTGTCGAGTCCTTGTTTCAGGACCTGTTCGAATCTCAGAGCCCTCTTTAAGGTTTAGGGTTTAGGGTTTAGGGTTACAACTTGTTTGTTTATGTTTAAATGCAGCGCCGGAATCCCGTTTTAAGGGGGAGGAAATGAGTGCTACACCTGAGCCTTCTAGAGTGGTCTATGGCTGACCCGGTTAGTCCTTGTACCTAAACAGGGAGGTCATGGGTACTTAGAAGCCCAATTGTAAGACTGCTTATAGCCTGCTTAGAGGACTTAGGTGACTTAACAACCTCATAAGCACAGTTATAATTGGGGTTAGAGGTACCCTGAACCTCCAAGTTGGGTCGTAAAGTACCTCCTATATAGGGACTTCGGGGCTCCAAGTATACAACAATGAGTTTAGGTTTAGGGAGGGTTTAGGGTTTAGGGTTTAGGGTTTAGGGTTTAGGGTTTAGGGTTTAGGGTTTAGGGTTTAGGGTTTAGGGTGACAGTACCATGGTAACCTCTATGTTGATTGGGGCAATGGGGTGTTGATGATTGGGCTGTGCATCCCTACACCCCTGAAAAAACCCTAAGCCTGACATCATGTTCCGCTTAACCTGAACCATGACGGTCCCGGGTTTAAAAGACCCTAAACTCTGAGCCCTAAAACCAAGGCTTGCAACGCTAAGCATAATTCAGACAATATGCAGAATAAGAACCCCTAAATTACTAAAATCTAAATATCTGAACACCATGTCTATCCTTAAGACCCCCACGCCCAAAACACACAACAAAATAAACAACAAAAAGCTAAATACAGTAAGCCCTAAAAGTCCTAAGCCCTAAAACCCTAAAAACCCTAAACCTTAAAGCCCTAACTACCCTTGTGAAAATCTACCCGTTTTACTCCCTGTACAGTAGCGCCGAGGTCACATCTCCTGACCTTAGTCCCCCTAAAGAACACCCCCGTATTACAAGGGACGTAGTCCAGGACCCTAAACCCTAAACCCTAAACCCTAAACCCCTTCTAGTGTTAGTTTTGTAGTGACTCTTCGACTCTGCAAGCCTTGGGCCCTAACCCTTGCAGCCCAGGAAAAGTGCTACGTAGTCACCGCGCCCGAACGATCCTTCAAAACTCTAAACCCTACATACCCTACATACCCTACATACCCTACATACCCTACATACCCTATATACCCTACATACCCTAAATACCCTACATACCCTAAATACCCTAAATACCCTAAATACCTAGATACCCTAAATGTCCTACCCCCCCCTCCCCCCCCCCCCAAAAAAAGACCTAATTACCCTGAATGCCCTGAATACCCTCAACCCGGAGGCCCTAAAATGCCCTAAACCCTAAACTCTCAACCCTAAGCCCTAAACCCTAAGCCCCAAACCCTAAACCCTAAACCCTAAACCCTAAACCCTAAACCCCGTGCCCTGGACTCCAGGACTTCGACGCACCTGGGGGAATCATCGCTCTTCACCAGACATTTGTCTGAGGGCTTTAGGGTTTAGGGTTTAGGGTTTAGGGTATTTTAGGGCATTTAGGGTATTTAGGGTATTTAGGATATTTAGGGGTATTTAAGGGTCCTTGGCTGCCGTCTACATACCTACTATATAATCCTGGATTTCATTTTTTTGGGGTCAGCATAGGGTTTCCTTTGATTGCTGGCTTGCTGCATCCCACACAAGCATTGGAACAGTCTTCGTAGCTACTGCACATCGAAATGTCAAGACCATGAAAACCATCTTGCCGTTCGCTTGGCAGTAGCAAATGCCATGCTGCAAGTTCCAGCTTGGGTTTCCGTGCTTGAAAACACCGGTGGGCTTGGCCAGAAGAAAAAAATCACCAATCATTCCTCTATGCTAGCTGCTTAGCATTGAAGCAGACTCTCAATTCAAAAGAGTCTTCCTGTCAACCACCCTGTGTTTCTCACCATGCGCTGCGCCATCCGCCAAAGGGCGAAACTTGCGCCACGTTCCAATGAGGTCTCTGGCTTGTGTTTTCGGGCTGCATGGCTCTACCCACTCTTCTCCACCCCATGTTTCCAAGCCACTTCAATCGTGTTATCCGGCTGAAGCGGGCGCTGTTCCAAATGATGATAGGAAAGGGCTCCTGAAAATAGAAAAGTGAATAGAAACCAGCTGCAGGGACCCCAATTTGGAACCACGCCCAGGTGAAGATGTGACTCCCGGTAGGCTGAGGTATAAACCCTAAGCCCTAAACCCTAAATCCTAAACCCTAAACCCTAAACGCTACATGGCTGAGAGTTGTACATCGCCTCTCTGCAGTCGAGTAGTAAAATCCAGAACCCTAAGCCCTAAACCTTAAGCCTCAAATATCATGGACTTCCCTACGACCCCTCTATACCAACGCCCTAGGTTCCCCCCTTAAATAGCTTTCTCTAGGCTTAATTATCCCTAAGTCGCTTCAATTAATTGGGGGAGCCTAGGGGAGTAGTATAGAGGGGGGGGCAGTAGAGAAGCCCATGGAAAATCTAGTTCCTACCAGGACGGGCTATTATACCCTAGAATCCCTTAACAGGCCCTTTACAGGGTTCATTATGGGGATTTTAAGGCCTAGTAGCCCATCCTGGTAAGGCAGTTCTGAGGTTTGTGAGCGTAGACTCATTCCGGGCGGCTACTAGAGGGTTATGGCTTAGGTTTCAAGGGAGGGGCTTGGGCTTCCAGGTTTAGGGTTTAGGGTTTAGGGTTTAGGGTTTAGGGTTTAGGGTTTAGGGTTTAGGGTTTAGGGTTTAGGGTTTAGGGTTTAGTCTTCATGCAGGGGGGAGGGTGGGGAGACTTCTAGGTTCAGGCTTTTGGGTTTTGCGTTTAGGGCTTACCGGGGATTTACGACTTCAAGGGTTGTGGGCGTTCTAGGTTTCGGGTTTACGGTTTAGGGCATTTAGCCCTTCCCTTGCCTCAGTGGGCAGATGTCTGCAGCCGGAAACTAAAAGCTTCAGAAGTGATCTGAGCTGGCTGCCCCACAGCCTTGGAAGCCATACTTGGAGGTTCAGGGTACTTGTCACCTCACTTAGAACTGCACTTATAAGCCCCCTAAGCTCCCTGAGTCCTCTAAGCAGGTTATAAGTAGACTTCCAATTGGGGTAACCTCCAAACCCTAGCATAGCTCTCTAGCCCCGAAACCCCGCACGCTTTGAAGCCTTAGAAATTGTGGTTTCTGAAGCAGCGTTTCTGTCAGAATCCTTACCCCTTTGAGCTCAGCGCTCAATGGGAAAGAAGATCGCATTGGGGGACCGCCATGAGCGCCCTGCAATCGACTTTTGGGTCTTAGGCTAAGCCCCTAAGCCCCATCATACCTACAGTATCCTAGGTCAACTCTATAAAGGCGAAGAGTAAGTATAGCTTGAATCGTTGGGCATGTTTCCCTTTCGTAGCACCTACTTGAAGGTTCATGGGTACTGATAAGTAGGGTTATAAGTACGGTACCCTAAAGCGCTTATGGCCATAGTTGCCCTACTTATAAGCCTACTTATAGGTAACCGTGAACCTCCAAGCAGACCCTTCCCTTAACCCCGTACCCTGCGCCGCCCCGGGATCCAACCACACCCAGCTCCAGGCAGACAGCTTGCAGGTGCCGCACAATCTTGGGACCAAAGGAACCCTAACATTTGGGATCTTACGGGGGGTTTCCGAAAATATGGGGGTACCTTATTGGAGCCCTTGTTCTAAGGGAATCCTACTATTTGGGGGACGATATTGAATTTGAGGGGTCCCTTATTTTCGTAGACCCCCATATGCGATACACTTCCTCTGAAGGCAAGATGAAGAGCCACAAAAACCCAAAACCCTAAACCCTAAACCCTCAACCCTAAACCCTCAACCCTCAACCCTAAACCCTAAACCCTAAACCCTAAACCCTAAACCCTAAACCCTAAACCCTAAACCCTAAACCCTAAACCCTAAACCCTAAACCCTAAACCCAAGCCCTTTCAGGGTTCCTTTGGTCCCCCAGGGCAATCGCTTGAGGACAAAAAGGAGACTTGGGTTGAGGAGGCTGCATGCGGCCCTTCGATAGAGCTCATGAGGATGGTTTAGGGTTTGGGGTTTGGGGTTTAGGGTTTAGGGTTTAGGGTTAAGGGTTAGGACCGGGTATGAGTGGGGGCTTCCCACAGTTAGGGTACCTATGTCGGGGTGAGTGGGTGGGGGGGGGATTAAAACAAACGGGAGTGATGCTACATTTCTTGCGGCATATAGGGGGGGTAACTCCTAGAGGGGCAACCCCTAGATAAGGAAGTGCAACATTTGGTTTCTTTAGGGCGCCTGAAGTAAAGAACACAAATGGAGTCTTAGAGTTCAGGGGGTTTTGGGCTTAGGGAAGTTTAGGGTTACGGGGTTTAGGGTTTAGAGGGGCCTAGGGTGGGAGGGCTTGGGGGTAAGTTTAGGGTTTAGAGGTTAGGGGCTTTGCGCTAAACGGCCACTTGCAAGAGGCATCCTGATTCCTGATATGTCCCTAAACCCTAAACCCTAAACCCTAAACCCTAAACCCTAAACCCTACTGTTGCTGTGTCCCTGGATAGATGTGACACGCCCCAGGTCAGCCGCACTCTGCGATCGCAGTGCAGCGCTGTTGACGACATCGTCGCGGCGTTGGGCGACACATGCGCCTCACGGCTTAGGGTTTGCGGATTAGGGTTTAGGGAGTAGGGTTTAGGGTCTATAGGGTTTAGGGATTAGGGTTTAGGGTGTAGGGTTTAGGGTCTATAGGGTTTAGGGTTTAGGGTTTAGGGTTTAGGGTTTAGGGTTTAGGGTTTAGGGTTAGGGTTTAGGGTTTAGGGTTTAGGGTTTAGGGTTTAGGGTTTAGGGTTTAGGGTTAAGATACTGGAGCAGGGGTTTGGGGCGTGCGTCAAAGTTTGCTTGCCAAAAGAAAGCGTGTCGGGGACATTGACTTCCGAAACCTCTGCAAGCAGAAAGCTGCTGGAAGAAACCATTGCAGCCGCAGTAAACCCTAAACCCGTAAACCCCTAAACCCCTAAACCCTAAATCCACAAACCCCTAAACCCCTAAACCCCTAAACCCCTAAACCCCTAAACCCCTAAACCCCTAAACCCCTTAACCCCTAAACCCCTAAACCCCTAAACCCCTAAACCCCTAAACCCCTAAACCCCTAAACCCCTAAACCCCTAAACCCCTAAACCCCTAAACCCCTAAACCCCTAAACCCTAAACCGAACCATCGCTATGAGGCCCATGTACCTCAAACTCCATCATGGAGTCTCCCCCCCAAATTTTGAAGGGTTTAGGGTTAGGGTTTCTTGGGGGTTTAGCGTTCCTAGCGTTCCTAGGGTGGTTCAGAGTTCAGGTTTAGGGATTGGGTTGTTTAAGGTTTAGGGTCTAGGGCTCAGGAAGGTGTTTCTTTTTTCCGGTTGTTGAGGAGTTTGAACCCCCTTCCTTTGCCTGCCGAGGTGGGCGTGTGGGATGGAATGCCGGCACGAAGCTCAGACATCAATCCCTACGCCCTAACCCCTACACACCCAAGCCCCAAGTCCCAAACCCTAAGCCCCAAACCCTAAACCCTAAACCCTAAGCCCTAAACCCTAAACCCTAAACCCTAAACCCTAAACCCTAGCCCTAAACCCTAAATTCTTCCAGCCTTGAGGTCGGGGCCTTTTGACGTAGTGTGGGTTTAGGGTTTCGGACTTAGGGTGTAGGGTTTAGGTTCCAGGTTTTTGTTTTGTGGGTGTGTTGTTCGTTGCATGCTGACGTCTGTGTCGCTCCGTCCTATGGTCTCCCTAGGCATTGGGTGTAAGCTGAAGCTCGTGGGCAGAACGTCCAAAGGGAAGCTTCAATTGCATAATGTTTTGTACTATGGCTGCAAGGTTAGTTTTTGGAAAGGTTGGGTTACCTACTTCACCCCCCCCCCCACTAAAACAAAAAGACACAAGACGTGAATCAAATCCCCAAACCCTTATACTGTAAGCCCTAAACCCCAACCCCAAGCCCCTAAACCCGAAACCCGAAACCCGAAACCCTAAACAAACCCTAAACTTTCCCTAAACCTTAACACAGGGTTTAGGGTTTAGAAGTTCAGGCCGGCTTGCTTGGAATTTGATGAGATGAAGTAGGGTTTAGGGCTTAGGGTTCTCTCAATTATGTTCCCTTTTCAGGTCCTCAATATAAGGCGGCCCAAAAGGGACGAACGTGTTGAGAAGTGCTCATGACCCTTATGCAGGGTAGTTATTATAGAACCTCCAAGTAGGGCTTAGGGTTGACAAAGGTTCGGGAGACTCCCCCTCTGAGAGCTCGGGCCACTGTCCGAGCAGTCAAGCACCAGACGCTCTACAACCCAAACCTCCCGGTTCACCCCAACCTTTATTTAAACCGTGCAATCCAAAAAAGACCTAGTCTCTAGGCCCTGAAACCCTTGAACCCTGTATAGCCTTCGACGCAAAGGCACACCCTACTTGGAAGCTCATGGGTACGTATACGTCTAGTTATAACGTAGACCTAACTCAGAGTACTTAGAGGAATTCGGGGGCTTATAAGAACAGTTTTAGTTGGGGTTATAAGAACCCTGAACCTCCAAGTAGGGACCCTAAACCGTAAACCCTTAAGGGTTACTTAACCCTAAACCCTAAACCCCCTAAAACCCGAGCAGGCACACTCGCCGCGGGACGCGGTTCTGGAGGCGGCGGCTGCGGCGAAGACCGCCAAGGCCGACGTCATCGTCACCGTGGGAGGCGGGGCGATGAGTGGGGGGAGTGGGGGGAGTGGGGGGGGGTTTAGGGTTTAGGGTTTAGGGCTTCGGAGCATGCATCAGGGATGGAATCTCAGGATCAGATGAGGCAGGGCTTACATTCCTGCAAGTGGTGAGTGTCTTTACAGACAAAAAGTCAATTGATTTTGAAAAGCCGTACCCACATGAGTGACCGGGTACATCTCGACGACAGGGTACTCGTAGAAAGCCACAGACCCAGATTTTTTCTCAACGCAAGTAGGCTGCAGGCAAGGGCAGGATCTGAAGGAGCGCGTACACTTTTCGATAGCTAGGCCTAAATCCTGAACCCTGAACCCTAAACCCTAAACCCTAAACCTCTGTATAGGTCCTAGTGTCCACACATGCCTGAGGCTTGAATCGCTGCATCCCTAGATCCCTTGCACGCTCAAATTCCCCTAGTCCCTAAACCAAGAAAGCCCTGAGTCCCTAAGCCTACATCCCTGAATCCCTAAGCCTCCACTCCTGAATCCCTAAACCTAAATCCCTAAATCCCTAGTTACATCCCCAAATCCCTGAGCCTAAGCCTCCAATCCCTCGCAGGCGGGAGCCTCACTGATGGTGCCAAGGCAACTCAAGCAGCCTGCGAAGGGAGTTTGGAGGTTAGGTTTTAGGGTTGAGATTAAGCTTGGGGTTTGGGGTTTAGTGCATGAAAGGGTTTTCGGGTGTTAAGTTTAGAGCTTGGGGTTTAGGGTCGAAGTTTAAACCCTAAACCCTGAACCCTGAACCCTAAACCCTAAACCCTGAACCCTTCAGGGTACCTGGGCCCTTCTTGGGGCGAAGCCGAGAGCTATCCCTGAACCCAAAGCCCCTTCCGATGTCCCCAAAAGAGCACACTGGGACCAAGAATCCATCCTGGGAGGTTCATGGGAACTGATGAGTAGGGTTTAGGGTTTAGGTTTTGGGGTTTAGGGTTAGGGTTTAGGGTTTAGGGTTACTTGTAAGTAGGCTTATAGGCAGCGAGGGCTTGGTTTTTTGTTTCGAGTTCATTTAAATTGTTCTTTTGTTTCGACTAGAGGTTTGAGAAGGTATGTAGGTTGGTGTTTTTGTCTCGGGGGGGGGGGGGGGGATTGTTTTCAGATTCAGGGGCCGCAGTCCTTCTGATGACCCCGCAAGTAAATGCTGGAAAAGCCGTAGCCCTGGCCCCGCGTACCTGATTCCAACTTACTCTGACAGCCTAAACGCCTACACCACTAAATCCCTAGCCCCTAAACCCCTCAACTTAAACTTTACACCCTTTACCCAAACCCTCAAAAAACTCAAAACTGTTCAAGATATGGGCGCCAGGGGTTGGGGTGGGTTGGAACCCGAAACCCTAAACCCTACACCCTGAACCCTGAACCCTGAACCCTGAACCCTGAACCCTGAACCCTAAACCCTAAACCCTAAACCCTAAACCCTAAACCCTAAACCTAGGGTTTCGGGTTCAAAAGGGCTCCTCCGATGCCACCGCACAGCCTTAGCTTGAGGTCGTGCGGATTGCTCTGCAGACGGAAGCCGCCTCCCAGGAGGAGCAGAGAGGGGGTGGGGGGTTCGGGTTTAGGGTTTAGGGTTTAGGGTTTAGGGATTAGGGTTTAGGGTTTAGGGTTTAGGAGGCTGTTTAGGTGTTAGATGATGTGCTTGAGGGTTAAGAGCTTCGTTCAGGCCTCGATAAAGACCCTTCAGCACTGAAGCCCTAAGCTGGGATGTTCCCCCTTATACAAACAGTCCTAGTACCCCATATGAGATTCCCTGTTACGGAGCTGTTAGTATAAGGGGGAACATCCCAACCCCAAGCCCTAAAGACCCTAAACAGCCCTAACAAGCTCCGAAGCTTGAGCATCTTCAGAAGCCTTAATACAGTCTCAAAGCCCTTGCAAGATAGCCCTAAAAGCCCCTGAAACCCAAAACCATCTTGAAGCCCCAAGCCCTTTAAGGAAGGCCGAAACCCTAAAGCATTCTTGACCAGGGAGGGTGTAGGGTACTGGGTGGCAGGGTTTCGGTCCCGATGCTGCCACCGTGACAGGCTTCAGAATTTGATGAACCCGAGGCAAGGTTCGAGCAAGGCTTCTTGCTGCTGATGAGTCCTTCAGGGTTTCGGGTTTGGGTTTTAGGGTTTAGGGTTTAGGGTTTATAAGTTATATTTAGGGTTTAGGGTTTAGGGTTTAGGGTTTAGGGCTTAGGTTTCACCACCGTGCATAGTCCTGCAACTGCCCTCCGAGCTTTGTAGGAATACAGGTTTGTACGTGCTGACGCGGGAGAGCCTCGGTTGAGGGAGGGGCGTGCGGGTGAGGAGCTTGGCAAGTACTGCTTCAAGGGACGCCTGCCTGAAATTTGAAGACTTGGAACCCCTAAACCCCTAAAAACCCTAAACCCCTAAACCCCTAAACCCCTAAACCCCTAAGCCCCTAAACCCTTAAAACCCCTAAGCCCCGAAAACCCCTAAACCCCTAAGCCCCTAAACCCCTAAACCCCTAAACCCCTAAACCCCAAAGCCTGAAATTGGGAGACTTGAACCCCTCGCAGAGTTGGGTGGCTGCATGAACAGCTCATGAGCCTCACCTGGGTCTCTCCTCCCCTAGCTACTAGTTTAGGGTTTAGGGTTAGGGTTTAGGGTTTAGGGTTTAGGGTTTAGGGTTTAGGGTTTAGGCATATAGTTGCTTAAGAACCCCGAACAAATAAAAAAAAAAAACTATTCTTCCTTACTAAGGGTAAAATAGGGATTATTTGTGTTTTTTTTATTCTTTTGGGGTTCTTAAGCAAATAGTAGCTACAGGTTTATGGGTTGTGCCCTACTAATTCCCAGGGGTAGCTACTACTAAGAGGCCCAGGCAAGCAGGTTGGCACAGCAACGTCGCAAGAACTTGCAGAGTGTTTGCCTTGCAGGTCTCTGCCGGTCGGACATTGTATACAATAGGGTCGGAAATTTTACAAACATCATTCCCTTAGGGTCCCGTTATCATTATACTACCAATACCCCCAAAACCTTACTCTAATCATCCAGGTCCCTCCCTTACCCCCCCCCCCCCCTAAAAGCCCTCTGCTCCCGCTCCGCCCCTACTATGGACGACAGCACCCCGAATGCTTGAGATGCACGAAGTACGAGGATGCCCAGTAGCGGTTTAGGGTTTAGGGTTTAGGGTTTAGGGTTTAGGGTTTAGGGTTTAGGGTTTAGGGTTGGTTCCCTTATAAACCCATTTAAGCAACAAAGGGCACCCATTTTTATTCTAGGTTCCTGGGCAGCTTAGAGTATGACGTCAGACAAGTAAGCGCTCGTTCGTCAGTGCATTGTCCGATGTGAACGCTAAACCCTAAACCCTGAACCCTGAACCCTAAACCCTAAACCCTAAACCCTAAACGGTTTTTGGCCGTGTTGGGTCTTGCGCTGCAGCAGGGCTCAGACACACAACTCCGGCAAGAGCATAGGGTTTAGGGTTTAGGGTTTAGGGTGTAGAAAACCTATAAACCCCGAACTATGAGCCCTATAAAACCCATATACTACGAACCCTCTAACCGAGAAGACGCCTGTATACTAGAAGCCCTATGAACCCTACAACCTGCCCCGCCCCCCCAACCCCCTCCCAACAAAAAAAACGAAATAATGATGCAGCAATACTAAAAAACAAATAAACAAATCTTAAACACAGAATAAACCATAAACCCTAAACCCTCAGCCCTCCTTCGGAAGTTTTTGGCGGGCCTCTCAAGCTCAGGTGACGTCTCGGCCGTGAAAGACACCAAGTTGATCCCGCAGGTGTCGATCCCGACCACGCTCAGCGCAGGCTTAGGGTTCAGGGTTTAGGGTTGAGGGTAGGGTGTAGGGTTTAGGGTTTAGGGTTTAGGGTTTAGGGTTTAGGGTTCTAAGGGGGAGTCGGGGGCTTGGAGGGTGCAGGGACTTCTAGGGTTTAGGAGTTTCGGGCTCCTAGTGTTCCCAGGGTTGCTAGGATTGCTGGGATTGTTAGGGATGCTAGGTTTTTAGGGTTGCCAGGGTTGCTAGGGTTTCTAGGGTTGGAACATGCGGAAAGCAGCATGTCAAATGGAACTTATGCCACGGGGTTAGGGTCTCGGGGGTTTAGGGTTTAGGGTTTAGGGTTTAGGGTTTAGGTGCTGGTAAGGGGTATAAGGAGGGACCGCTAGAAGGGATCCTGAATCTTTGTCCCCTATATAACCCCTATATATGCCTTATATAGCCCGGAGAGCACAATGATAGTCAACGGCAACTGTCCAATGCATGGGGTTTAGGGTTTAGGGTTTAGGGTTTAGGGTTTAGGGTGGCACATCGCTGGGGTCTGTTGTTTCATCCACTGAAAAGCGGGGCATCAAAAACTTCTCCACATGTCCGCACCCCCATGGCTGCTGCGGTTACTGTCAGTTGCAGTCCTTGTGAGTGCCGACCGCAGCTTGAGTTTGGACGCAGACCCCTCTTCCAACAATAAGCTGGACCAGCAAATTAAGAAGCTGACTGGTGAATGCCGCAAAGAGATTCAAGGCCTCGTGACCGATCTCATGAGTCTGTGTCGCAAGACTCAAGCTTCCGATTGTGAATCGCAAATCTATGACTTGTTTCTCGCAGATTTGGCGCTGGCCCAGGAAGGCCGGTGGCTTGCACGAGCAGCCAGATCTGAGAAGGACGCAATGTTATGGGCTGGGTTTTGGAGTGGGCCTGGAGCAGAGGCAAACCGCACCACCAAGGAAGCGCTCTTCAACTTTGCTGACCTGATGAACACGAGCACGGTTCACCCCATGACACAACTTGGTCAGATTGTTGAGGACAACGGGGTTCTACAAAGCTGCGGCAGGGACCAGGCCGCGATGGAGCCCCTGGAAGTCAGGGACAATGGTTTGCTGTCCAACTTCTGGACCATGGCCAGCAAGGCATTCGTAAAGAGCATGGCGTGGAAGAAGCAGAGCAGCATCGTCGTGCTTGTCAATAAGGACCACCACATGCGCATGCTTCTTCTGGGGCTGAGTTTTATGACTGCAAGAGCAACCCTGGTTGAGAGAGCTGCTGCTCTTTGGAAGTCATGAACTTAAACAGGTGGGATGGGAAATCTATAGACTAAGCTGGGCACCCCGCCCCACCCCAGAGACCCAAGACCACGCTGACGAGGGTTCAGGGTTCAGGGTTTAGGGTTTAGGGTTTAGGGTTTAGGGTTTAGGATTTAGGGTTTGGGGTTTAGGGTTTAGGGTTACGAGGACACCAGCCCAAACGCGGAGCGCAACCTCTACGACTCGGTACTTTGGAAGTATGAGCTGCCCAGGATTGCCTTTGAAGTCGCCACCTCGGCCTCCGCCGCACCCGTTTCGTTCGGGCACAGACCTCCATGGAGACCCCAACTGGCCCTGGTGGACTTGCGTGGAAGATGCGATGTCTTGCTGGAGAAGATGCGACACCAAGCCACCAGTTCGGAGGAGGTCGGCTTTGCAATGATGAGCGCCGAGAAGCGAACGCGTGTTATCCAGCGATGGCTAAAGGATCGTGTCACGTGCCTTCCTTGCGTCTCGCCGTGCAAGTTGAACGAAGAGTTCGCGGAAGCGTTGCGGGAGAAGCTCACAGAAACACCGAGCATCATGAGGAGAGTGTTTTCTTGGATGCGCTAGCAGGTCAGACTGGTATTTGAGGCTGTGATCGTCCTGACTGTATGAATGGCTTATATCGAGAGTGGGAACAGAATTCGTCCTGCAGGGATCTGGTTTGTTTGAAGGACGCCCTAAACCCTAAACCTGAACCCTAAACCCTATGCCTTGCGGGCTTTTGAGCCATCAAAGGCCTAGGTGCGTTGAAAGCTGAGTTTCTGCGTGCGGATTAGGGGGCCATCCTGGGGTGTTCGGTGACATTCTATACTTCTGTACACTATGCTACAGTATATTCATCAGGGTTCAGGGTTTAGGGTTTAGGGTTTAGGGTTTAGGGTTTAGGGTTTATGGTTTAGGGTTTAGGGTTTAGGGTTTAGGGTTTAGGGTTATATCATAGTACAATATTCTACATAGCATCGACTTTCGGAACATGTGGGGGAGAGAGCAATACATCAAGATGAAATCAGTGTTTGGGATACCCATACCGTGCCGTTGTTCTCGCCCTCGGCTTTGAAACGCTCTTTCGGATGGTGTATGGTTCATGATGGTTCATGATGGTTCATGATGGTTCATGACTGGGGCTGGCGGCTAGAGCTTTCAAGACCTCAAAAGCCTAAAATCCACCCCCCCCCCCCCCCCCCCCTCCCCCCCGCACCCTAAACTCCTGAACCGCCTGCCTGTACACCAGTGTAGCTTCCGGGATTTTTGCATGCTCAATCCCAAATTGGTTTCAGAGGGTTCTGATGTATGGGCGCTTAGTAGGGTAAACAAGGGGTATACAAGGGCCCTTTCAAAGGCCCATATTCAAGGACCATGTAACTAACCTTAGACCACGAACTCACAGGCGAGTTCGCGCCGTATGCTGGCTGCACGGATCCTGCCACCAAGGTCAAAGAAACGCACCCTGGCCTTGTGGTTGAAAGGCTCGTTGTTTGGGTTTCGCAGGCTTATGATCGTTTGGTGCGAAGGCGGAAAGGCATCCCAAAAAACATGCGCGGCGCGAGGGGCAGCACAAGCATCGTTAGCTGTCAGCGGAAGAAAGCTGGGCCATTAGTGATGGGGCTTCATGCTTTTCTCTCGTACGACTCTTTGCCTGCAGGACTGGGGCACTTTAAGAATTCCCAGATGCGTGTAAATAACGTAACTTCTCTATATAGCAATTCGCAATCATGCAAAATGCGTTTTCTGTGTCAATACCGGTGTATTCACCTGTATGCAGGGCTCAAGCTCAACATTGAAGGAGAGAAACGTGCACCCGTTCAACAAGAGCCATCGACAAAGCTTAGACATGGCTTACCCTCAGCCCTAATTTTATCGCTACGCGACCCGCCTCGGCCCGGCCCAGCGCATCCGCGTGAGCATGGTGATTCCGCAGCGCCCAAGTCGCTGGACTCCAAGCAATAAGGGTTGGGTTTAGGGTTTGGGGTTCCGGGTTTATGGTTTATGGTTTGGGGTTTAGGGTTGAGGGTTAGTTTAGGATTGAGGGCTTAGGGCTCAAGGTTCACGCTTTGGGGTTTAGGGGTTGTTTTGGGTTTAGGGTTCAAGACGGTTCGGCTTGGATTGATCGTAGGGTTGAGCCAGGCCGGGGGGGGGTAGGGGGGGTGCGGGGGGAAGGGGGTGAGGGGGGAAGGGGGGAAGGGGGGGAGGGGGGCAGGGCAGGGAGGGTTTGTTGCCTGTTCTGACAACCTATACACCTCCGGCCGGAGGCCTCGGCGGATTTCGTCATGAGGCTCTTGTTAGTACTAAGCCCCCCTCAACAGAGATGAACTCCCATTTCAAGCCCATTCAAAATTATTGCTCTAAGGCTCCTGAGCTTTCAAACACTAAACCCTAAACCCTGAACCTTGAACCCTAAGCCCTAAACCCTAAATCCTAAATTAAACCCTAAACCCTAAACCCTGAACCCTGCAGAGCCCCTGGGAGGTATCAGTTCCGCTTTAGCAGGGTCAGAGCAGCCCGAAGCTAAACCCTAAGCCCTAAACCGCACTAGAAGGGAGGGTCGATATTCCTCCGATTGCAGCTGAGTGCAAATAGGTTATCTTCTAGAGATTGATGCATTTATTCATTCGGGGGATACTCTCCAGCATGGGCCATTCCCTGTAACCCCTCAAAAAGGCCCTCTATGGGGTTGCTCATGGGGATGATAGGCCTTATAGACCATCCAGGAACCCTAGCCCTAAACCCTAAACCCTAAACCCTAAACCCTAAACCCTAAACCCTAAACCCTAAACCCTGAACTGGAAAGTAGTTCAGGGTGTCCTCTTGGCATCCCAAGGTACGTGTGGCTGGATGCGCTCCCCAAGGCCATTGTCCTCGACCCGTGGCTTGTGCAACCTGGCGCATGGGCTCCAAGAGGGGATTCCCCTAGCCCTAAACCCTAAACCCTAAACCCTAAACCCTGAACCCCGAACCCTGAACCCTAAAACCGAACCTTATAACCCTGACCCGGAAAGAAGTTTAGGGTTTTGGGCTCAGGGGACGGCTCAGAACCCTGAGGCCTCATTTGATCCCATAGCCTGGGGCTCAGGGCCTGCAGGGTTTAGGGTTTAGGGTTTAGGGTTGAGGGTTTAGGGTTTATGTTTAGGGTTTATGTTTAGGGTTTAGGGTTTAGGGTTTAGGGTTTAGGGTTTAAGGTTTAGGGTTTAGGGTTTAGGGTTTAGGGTTTAGGGTTTAGAGCCTCCTAAACCCTAACCCTAAAACCTTTAACCCTAAAACCCTAAGCCCTATAAGCCTTCAGGGTACTTACAACCTGCCATTGGGCCTGATCAGACCAACGCGGGCTCCCAGCAATGAGGGTTGAAGGTTTACGGGGTTTAGGTCGATTCTTGTGCGTCGTTTGTGCAGCCAACGCCATCATGCTGAAAACCATCGGAAACACCATACGCCCTAGTCTAGGATTGAAGCCATACAGTTTACAAGCCTTGTACACCCCAAACGGTCATGCCCTGAACCCTGAACCGCCTGAACCCTGGACCCTAAACCCTAAACCCTAAACCCTAAACCCTAAACCCTAAACCCTAAACCCTAAACCCTAAACCCTAAACCCTAAACCCTAAACCCTAAACCCTAAACCCTAAACCCCAGGCAGCAGACACCGGAGTGGCTATTCCTGTCCACCGGCCTCCGAGCCGTCGACCACTGCGTCGAGTGCTTGCCAGCTGGCCGGAGTTGCGAGACGTGTCGCTTTGGTTTGATGGTTCCACCGTTTCAGGTCAAGGGTTTCGGGTTTCGGGTTTAGGCGGTTTAGGGTTTGGGGTTTGGGGTTTAGGGTTTAGGATTAGGGTTTAGGGTTTAGGGTTTTCTGCGTCTTCCGGCCTAGGGCTGCTTAGAGTCAGCGTGATGCTTAAATTGGAGTTGTTGTTTCTGTTTGAGGTTTCGTTTTGTTTGTTAGGAGCTCAGGGCTAGAGCTGCATTGTGGGCGCCGTCAGTCATGCAGCTTCACACGCTTGCCCTTGTGGGCTGTTTGGATAGAACTGATTGTCCTTGTTTGTCCTGCTTGCCCCCTTTTCCTCACTTTGAGACCTCAACCCTAAACCCTAAACCTTGAACTTTTTGCCGGAATGCGCCCCTTGCCTCAACTGTGACACCTCTCCCTGATCCTTGTGAATAGTTTTTGGCGCAGAAGTCTTCCCCACAGTCACCAACGTTGACCGATGTATGGACTTTACTTAGTAGCTGAGCGAGTACACTTTACACCTTTTGGGATACTATAATCCCCTGTAAAACTGAAAGTGTACACTTTGTAGGGGCTTATGAACAGCAACTAAGTTTATGTGAAACGAAAGAAAGGGCACTGTCGAAGGTTTCCGTCTGCACAGTGACCCTAAAACCCAAACCCTAAGCCCCAAGCCCTAAACTCTACACGCGAAGCCCTAAGGCCCCTGGGCCCTCAGCCCTAAGCCCTACCCTCAACCCTAAGCCCTAAACCCTAAACTTTAAGCCTCAACCCTCAACCCTCAACCCTAAACCCTAAACCCTAACCCTAAACCCAAAATCCTAAGCCTGACCCCAAGACCCCCACCGGGTTCCCCCTCGTGGTAAGGTACCCTTGTTCCCTGCCTTTCTGGCTTCCCTTACCCGATTGCGCATCACCCCTACACCTTATAAGCCCTAAACCCTAAACCCCAAGCCCCAAACCCTAAACCCCAAACCCCAAGCCCCAAGCCCTAAGCCCTCAAACCCCTAAGCCCCAAACCCCTACCCCTAAACCCTAAACCCTAAACCCCTAACCCTAAACCCTAAACCCTAAACCCTAACCCCAAACCCTAAACCCTAAACCCTAAACCCTGAAACCCTAAGCCCTAAACCAACCCAAAGCATTTTCCTCTCAGGTGCTCCCTGTCGGGCAACCCCTATGCCGATGGCCAGGCCGCAGCGGCTCTGGCACTGCTAGTACGGGGCCTGCGGGCCGCCAAGGCCCCTGATGTGCTGTCTCTCTGTGTGTGGGTGTGGGGTTTAGGGTTTGGGGTTTGGGGTTTGGGGTTTAGGGTTTAGGGTTTAGGGTGTTGTGCGTGCGATAGGGTTGAAACTCTAAACCCTAATTTCCAACCTACAGCCCCTAAACCCCCCAGACCCCCAGACCCCCTAAACCGCCTATACCTCCTAAACCTCCTAAACCCCCAACCCCCTAAACCCCTTCAAACCCCCTCACCCTCTAAAACCATACACAGGAACGAAATGTCAGGCCTTCAAGTCAACTTCTGCCTTCTTTCTGTGGAGGCCAAACCTGATGACGTGAATGCGCGGAACGACTGCCAGCTGGGCATCTTCCAGTCGGTGCAGGCACATGTACTTAAATCCTAAGCCCTAAACCCTAAACCCTAAACCCTAAACCCTAAACCCTGAACCCTGAACCCTGAACCCTGAACCCTGAACCCTGAATCCGAAACCCTAAGCCCTGCAAATACCACATTTGCAATTTGGTGTCATCTTTGGGGGGGGGGGGGGGGGTCTTGAGGATCTCTTGTGAAGGCGCACTGCAAAGTTGTAGAGCTCCGGCGTGATGAGTTCTAGGGTTTAGGGTT